GTCAAGTGCTTATCTTCCAGCACACCAGGACTCCACACATTATGAATGGTGATTATGTGTCGTGGAGTGAGTTCCGACTCATAGCAACCCTGTACAGGGTTTCCGAGGCTGTAAATCTTTATGGGAGCAGAAAGCCTCATCTTTCTCCCATGAAATAGCTGGTAGTTTTGAACTGCTGACCTTGAGGTTCGCAGCCCAATTCATAACCACTATGCTACCAGAGCTCCTTCACATTATGAATAGCACGAGTATATTGTCAGATATAATGCTGGGAGATTAATGGCATCCCATTAATCATCAAAAAGAACATTTCAAGATCTATCTTGAAGTATAATTCTGTCTGTAATAGGAAAATATCCACATACCTACAAGGAAGACTATTTAATAACACAAGCAATACTCATGGAAGTAGCAACCAAGAAATTAAACAAGGAATTGCATTAACCAAATCTGTTGCACAAGTCCTCTTAAAGTGTTAAAGAGCAGAGATGTCAGTTTGAGAACTAACATACACCTGATCCAAATCATCGTATTTTCAATTTCCTCATATGCATGTGAAAGTTGAATTTGAATTATGGTGTTGTTTCGAAAAGAATATTGAAAGTACCATGTGCTCCTTAGAACAATCAACTATATAAAATCAAAAGGGACACATTTGCCCAGAAACAAAGATGAGAAGGCAAGAAGGGGCAGGGAAACTAGACTTATGGAAGCAAGAAACTCAAGGTGGAAACATGGAGAGGACTTACACATTACAGAGATTGCACCCAACATCACAGAACAATTTGTGTATGAATTATTGAATGGAAAATTAATTTGCTATATAAGCTTTACCCTGAAGCACAATAAAATGTAAAAAAATAAAAAGCCAATTCCTGCTTGAGAAATGTAAACTTGGAAAGCACAGTGAAAAGGAGGCCATTAGCAACCTGGAGCAAAAGTTGGAGGGAAATTTATGGAGAGGAGTCTTCAATAGTATCATAAAAGGAGGAGTATAACTTTTAGGAAGACAAAATAATAGTGGGGCAGAAATAGCATCAAAAAGGTGGGGGGGAAATATGTCAATAACACAGAAGAAGAGTATTAAACCATAGGATAAATACTAGACTGGTAACCACAAGGTCAACTTACCTTTCAAAGACCAACAGCTATCATTCATGGTCAGATGATCAGTCTGGATTTTGTGTGGCAAATGGCTGTGTGTCAGAGTGTGAGGCTATGAACTTGGGAATGGTAATAGTTGGTACGACTCTCTGGTAGTGTACTGGTTATGAATTGGGCTGCGAACCTTAAGATCAGCAGTTAGAAACTACCAGCCGCTCCACGGGAGAAAGATGAGACTTTCTGCTCCCATAAAGATTTACAGCATTGGAAACCCTGTACAGGGTCACTATGGGTTGGAACCGACTCGACGGCACTTAACAACAACAACAACAGTAGTTGGTAGTGGAGAGGACTGCTGCTCCCGTATAGATTTACAGCCTCGGAAACCCTATACAGGGTCATTATAAGTCGGAACTGACTCCACAGCACAACACCACCATCAATCTGATGAAGGTTTTCTCATCTTTTTTTTTTCATTTCTTGAGAAGATGTACATCAGGAAAATAATGTAAATGTGAACATAATAAGATTCCTATAAAATAGTCAATGAAAACTAACTGAAGCATAAAATAATCTTGGGAAGATGATTAGATAGTAGTTGCTGTTGTTGTTTTCAATTTACTACATCCTAGACTACTTCTCTTACTCATTTTAAATATCAAATAGAATTATGATGAGTGCCTGACCATGGTTATCCTACTTTGACTCAGCAGCATCCATAAATGGATTAGGTAATTTAATCCAGTCAGATTATATGTAAGCAACTCCAAGCATAGTGGGCATCATCTGCCTTGTACAGCATCCCTTCTCCAATTATCCTCTAAGGAACCTCCTTTCCCCACTCTTACTCAATCTATTACAGCTGAGGCTGGATCTTGGATCCAGGATAAAACATGTTGCCCGGTTTAGCCAATCAGAATATTCCACCTCCTTAGTCACAATGGTTAATTCAGGCACAAGCATGTTAATCCAATGAAGGCAAGCCCTGTACTTTTCCCTATTGGAAAATAATTGCTTAAGTCCCACGAAATTTGTTCACTCCTAGAATGTAAACTTGGAGATTTTAGTGGCCACTTCTGGCATCTCTTCAGGAAAGACTACTTGGAAATAAAATAGTCAGATAGAAGAGAGCAGCCAGGAGAGATGGACAGCACCTAAAAGCATTCCAGCACCTGGAGCCAGATGTGTCTGAAGTCCCTAATACCTCTGGATGTTTCCCTTTTCTCCGTTAACATAGCCTCAACTGCATTTCAATCACTGTCCAATGAAATAGTCCTAAAATTAACCGTTGTTGATGGTGCCTGGCTACCACTACTAATTGCTCTGAAAGGGATCACATTAGAAAGTCCTAGGTAGAGTGGGAGACATGTAGGACAAAACTCAAAATTTAATGAAAAGACTGGGTTTACTGGTCAGAAAGAGTCTGAAGGAACCTGAGACTACACAGTCTTCAGCCACCCTTCAGGTCTGGAATGGAACTCACCTTCAGGGCCCAATTTCCTGCTCAGCAACAGATAGGAATATGTTGTTGTGGTTGTTAAGTGCCATCAATTCAGTTCTGACTCATAGAAACCCTGTATAGGGTTTCCAAGGAGCAACTGGTGGATTTGAACCACTGACCTTGCTGTCCAGTGCATCATACCACAGCGCCATGTCAGAACTCCAGATAGGTATATTTTGTTGTTGCTGTTAAGTGTCATTGAGTTGGTTCCAACCCATAATAACCCTGTACAGGAGTGATTGGTGAGCTTGAACTGCTGACCTTGTAGTTCAAACCGACATTGCAGTCCAGTGCAGTAACCACAACACCACACCAGAACTCCAAATAGATATGTTGGAGGGGGGTTGGGGGAAGGGCCCAAAATACTAGTAAGGTGTGTTCACCATGGAACAGTCCACCATTTAAGATCAAAATGACAATATTCAGCCAAAGGACAAAGTTCAGAAGGGTTGGAAAGGTTAGTTGAAAAAATATAAATAAATAAAATAAAATTCACTATTGTTCTTGTTAGGTGCCATTCAGTGGATTCTGACTCATTGCAACTGAACTAATTGCTGCCTGATCCTGCATCATCCTCACAATTATTGTTGTATTTGAGCCCATTGTTTCTCCCACTGTGTCATTCCATCTCATTGGGGTCTTCCCCTTTATTATTGACCCTCCACCTTGCCAAAAGGAGCTCTGGTAGCGTAGTGGTTACGAATCGGACTGCGAACCTTAAGGTCAGCGGTTCGAAACTACCAGCCGCTCCGCGGGAGAAAGATGAGGCTTTCTACTCCTGTAAAAATTTACACCCTCAGAAACCCTGTACAGGGTCGCTATGGGTCGGAACCGACTCAACGGCACTTAACAACAACAACAACAACACCTTGCCAAACATGATGTCTTTCTCCAGGAACTGGTCATTCCTAACAATATGTCCCAAGTTCAAGAGACAAAGTCTCAACATCCTCTCTTTTAAGGAACATTCTGACTTTACTTCTTCCAGAACATATCGGTTTATTATTCTCTCAGTCCATGGTACTTTCAACATTTTTCACCAACACCATAATTCAAATGCATCAATTCTTCTATGGTCTTACTTATTCACTGTTCAACTTCAACATGAATGAGGTGATTGAAAATACCATGGCTTGAATCAGGTGCACGTTAGTCCTCCAAGTGTATATATTTTTTATCTTTAATACTTTAAAGAGGTCTTTTGCAGCAGATTTGCCCAATTGTCATTTAATTTCTTGACTGCTGCTTCCATGTGCATTGATTATGCATCCAAGCAAAATGTCATATTTGACAACTCCAATCTTTTCTCCATTTATCATGATGTCATTTATTGGTCTAGTTGTGAGGATTTTTGTTTTCTTTACATGAAGGGGTAATCCATCCTGTAGACTATAGTCTTCGATCTTTATCAGTAAGTATTTTCAGTTCTCTTCCCTTTCAGCAAGCAAAGTTGTATCCGCTGCATATCACAGGTTGTTAATGTGTGTTCCTCCAATCCTGATGCCATATTCTTCTTCATATAATCCACCTTCTTGGATTATTTGCTCAGCATACAGACTGAATATGGTGAAAAGACACAACCTTGGCACTCTCCTTTTCTGATTTTAAAGCATTTAGTACCCCCTAGTTCTAAAATAACACCCCCAAAATTGGGGGAGATACAAATACTGGGAGCTTTTGCATTCAGGATAAGCATTAGGAATCTAGACACCTATAGGGACCTAAGAAGAAAACAGGAACTGAATATGTTCTTTGAAGGAAAACAAGTAAAGATCTTAACAGCTGAGTCAAAAGTTGCTACACTTTAGAAATATTTTTTGGAAAGTATAGTATTGTTGTTGTTGTTACATGCTGTGGAGTCAGTTCCACCTCATAGCGACCCTGTACAGGGTTTTCGAGGCTGTAAATATTTATGGGAGCAGAAAGCCTCATCTTTCTCCCACGGAACAGCTGGTAGTTTTGAACTGCTGACCCTGAAGTTAGCAGTCCAATTCGTAACAACTGTGCTACCAGAGCTCATATAGCTACCTAAATATTTGTGTATAAAGATAATTGAGAGCAATGAGGTGAGGAAGAAGTGAAGAACAGAGAGAAAAGAAGGTCTTGACGTCGAAATAGAAAATAATATAAAACACAGTAATGATGTGAGATATTAAGCATTCGAATTGGCTTCAGGTTTGCAAACTTTCCAGAAATTTCATCTCCCCAAAACATTTTTCTCTATAAATGGTGGAAGAAAATGATTCCTCAATAACTTTGATGATTTGACTTAGATTTTCTAAATACTATGTATAAAAACAACTTTGAACTTCATTTTGAAAAGTAGGTTGAAGTGTTAATTGTTACTTACAATCGTAGTAACCCAGTTGCAGAAGTCACCAACTCCTTTGCGTACATTTTCATAAAGAAGAGGACCATGGAGCAAGTCTGTTTCACTTGGTTTCTTTTCTTTATAAACCCATTTGCCTGAATGTGACACAGGAGACTTCTGGAGACTAAAGAGAATGCAATTACGAAAGAATTACAATATGAGCCCAATAAATACAAGTGGATTTCACACTTGTACAGTTGTTGTTGATGCTAAGTGTCTTTGAGTCAAGTATGACTCATAGTGACCCCGTATAGGGTTTCTGAGGTTTTACATCTTTGTGGGAGCAGAAGGCCTCATCTTTCTCCCATGGAGCAGCTGGTAGGCTCTAACCAGTGACCTTGTTCACAGCCCCGAGTTTATACTACAGAGTCACTGTGCTCCCCAAATTGTTAGTATAGTGAGGAAAAATGAATCTAAAGCAAGTATTTCTAATAGTCACTTCCAAGCTAACACAAGTTATATTTTAATTTTTCAGAGATAGCACTCTCATTATCAATATCATAAAGATAATTCTATCCTTACTAGTTATAACAAAAGAGTATTTTCCCCATTATCAGTTGATTTTTAACATTATTTGCTGTTGCTATTACTCCGACTTGTGACAACTGCACTATAACAGAATAAAATGTGATATCTGTCCTTTGCCATCCTCCCAGTCGTTGCTGTGTTTGAGCTCATTGTCATAGCTCTTGCTTTATCCCAGGCTGTCAAGGTTTTTCTCATGTTCCCGGACCCTCCACTTTACCAAACAGGATATCCTTTTCTAGCCTTAAAGTGTTATTATAATTTTACTTTGGTGTACATCCAAAATCAAACAAACAAACAGAAAAACCCAGAGGGGTTGGAAGCAAATGCTGTTGAATGATGATGCATGGAGGGGATTGTAATCATCACAATGAAATGAAATATGATAGGATGAATGTAAAGCTCTGCCATGTAAACTATCTCTCAATTCACAATAGAAACTTTAAAAATATATATTATAATTTTAAATTTACTCCTTTATTAAGAAATATACAAAGACCAAATTACTGTGCTTAATAATTTAAGTCTACCAAAGCTGGTAAGGCCATAGTACAAAACTCAGACAATCTCAACAAGGCAGAGAGATATCCTTGACTTCTTTCTCCCTTTTTCCTAAAATGCAGCCCATTAACAAGTCTGATAAATTGTCAGCTGTCTTTCTGCTGGACCATTGCACTTCTGTCTTTGCATCTCTTCTTGCAGCTCCCTAACTCTAAATCCCCAGTTCATTCTCTACCCTGCAGACAAAATAGCTATTTCAAAATGTAAATCTGGACTATAGGGCTTTGGGATACAGAGATTGAGTCATGGTTGGAATAGGGAAAAGGGGAGAATAATGTTAAGATGCTCGGCAGTCTTTTGAATCTTGTTTTTCCTTGCATTATAATATAAAATAGACACTGGAGGGGGAGAGAAAGGAATAGTCAGAAACATCACCATAGAAAGCATGTAAGTCCGTCTTCTGCCTATAACTGATTGGAATACCTAAAATGGGGCTACAA